AGCGCGGAGCCGCGCGGCGAGGCGCCGCCGAGCCGAAGGGCCCGCGCGGGGAGCGGGGAGCCGCCCCCGAGGCGGCCGCCGGCGACGCGCGGGCCTCGGCCCGGGAGGGCGGCTCGGACTCGGAAGCGGAGCGGGAGCTTCGCCCCTCGCGCAGGCCCGCGTGCGCCAACAAGCTCATAGACTACATCATCGGCGGCGCCTCCGGCGGGGAGGAGAGCGCCGACGACGAGGAAGGCTGGGGTGAGGATGAGGAGGATGACGATGGGTTCGACAGCGAAGGGCCCTTGTCCGATTCGGATGCTGGGAGCCAGCACGGGGAGCGATTGCACCTCTGGAAGTCCTTCTTCAGCCCGGATCCTTACAACCCGCAGAACTTCACGGCCACCATGCAGACAGCGTCCAGGGAGCCCGGAGAGGACGTGCCCTGTGGCTCTGATGGTGAAGAGGAGGAGGAGGAGGAGGAGGAGGAGGAGGAGGAAGAGCAGGATTCATGGGCAGAGGGGTCTTCAGGCTCTCCTGACCCGAGCTGTGAAGAGGACGACGAGTGGGAGTGCAGTAGTGCGGATGAGGCGGAAAATTTGAAACTTTGGAATTCGTTCTGTACCTCAGATGATCCGTATAATCCTTTTAATTTCAAAGCCCCCTTCCAGACGGCAGCAAAAACAGGGAAACCCGATTTAAAGGGAACGGAGAGGCCAAGTTTGGTGCCTTCCGAGTGTGGTCTCTTGACTGTCTGTGCGGTACAGCTGGAAATGCAGCCCTGCGGCATCGCAGGGCCCGGGCAGCAGGACCTTCCTTCTCCTGCGAAATGTGGATCTTCCAAGAGAAAAAAGGTACTCCCAGCTCTCAGGTTTTTGCATTTGGGGAAGGCTTTGAAAGAAATAAGACGAGTGCCAAGTGACGTGAGCGGTGAGGTGGTTTGTGCCAGGGTCCCGGCCGTGGTGGCCGGTGGGTTGTGCCCACGTTGCTTGGCTGAACTCGCTCTGTTGCATCCATCTTACATGATGGCAGGCTTGGTAATTCAGTGGTATCAACCAGAAAACTTAATTCTCCTTCGATTCTCATTTTTAAAGCATAAATCTTCATTCTGTACTTATTATACTGTAGTTTTCCTTGTCTGAGAAACAAATGAGAAGTATGCGAGCGATGCTTGATTTTCCCCTGGAAAGAACCCTTTGGGTTATGAATCATGCTGATAAAATATAGTGGGACCTTTATGTGTGTAGTATAATTGAGGCTTTAAACGTTTAATTGTAAATATGTAGACCTCTAACGAGCCAGCTTGAGTGCTTGCCTGCAGCTATGTGGCTTTTGGGGACAGGAGGGACTGTGCTGGGTTAGCACGCACTGCAATAAGTCATTAAAGCTTTATATTTGTGCTGCTGTGTCTGGTTAAGTGATTGCTCCTTGCACTCCGAGCCTGAACGATTTAACAGATGAGCCCCTGTGCTTCCCTTTATTTGGAGAATACTCCAAATTGAGCTGTTTTTGTGAGAGGAATTTGGTAATTTAGAAAAAGTCCGAAATGCTGCAACTTAGCTGATGAACCTAGGGAAACAGGAGCTTACAGCAGAGTTTAAATCTGGACTACTGTTGTTTGTAGTGGTAGTTTTTTTTGGCCCCCCTGCTTTCAAAGTGTCCCGACAGCTGCGTGGTCTTTCTGGTGGCACCACCAAAGAGCAGTGCTCAAGATGCAATATTTAGCATGATGTTACAAGCTGCAGTAATTGCACTCAAGGGCATCTTAGCCTGATGTAAAGAGAATGAAAGGCAGCAAGTCGCAGGGGGACGGGCTGATGTAAGAGCCGTGTGTGCTCTGAAAGCAGATGCTAATTAGACCTATCTGAGCAAAAAAAAAAAATCAGATATTAGACCTAAACTGAGCAAAGATGCTGGGCAAGGATTGAGATTTGCAAAGAAATCACCACCTCACCCATCCAGTCAAGGCTCTTTGCTATATGTCACCCTGCAATCAAGCAGCAACCTTTTTAAAGCCCTCCAACCTGGGAGTGTTCTGGTTCACTTAGGAGTCAGTGAATGTAGTAAAACTGCTCGAGGAGCACAGGGAGTCTGCTGAGCCATAGAACTGAATTAAAAGCAAAGCTTGTAATTATGACTTGTCTGATTTAAAAGTTAACTTTATATTAACTCAGTATTGTTTTTAAGCTTGCCATGTGTAACTGCCCAGACAACCTGTATGCACGTAAGTTCTCCGGAATTTCATCCCAGCTCCGAACGTGCTGATTTGTTGCAGTCACGTAGGAATGAGTGTTGCTTCCTTGAATGTGACATCCCTTTCTGGGTGCCAGGCTGACTCACACTATTACTCATTTGTGTTCATTCTGTGGAACAATGCTTTAATTTTTTTTTAAAGGAGGCTTCACTAATTAGACCTTAGCAGGTAACATATTCTTAGCTTTAAGTCAGCGTTCTGGCTGATCCTAATGAGTAACCTTGATTAAGGGTGTATGTGTAACGCAAGCGGGGTCTGTGATTTCACACTTGGGTTTGGAACATTGTGTGATCTTCTCTTTGCTTAACGAGTCCTCTCTTTAAACACGAGAAATAATGATATGTGCAGATAAGACTGAGCTTTTTTTGCATGTATCTTTGCTCAATTCCTTAATCCTTATGTCTTCCAGGTAACCTTCCTCGAGAAAGTTACGGAGTATTATATAAGCAGTGAGGAGGATCGTAAAGGACCCTGGGAAGAACTCGCTCGAGACGGATGCAGGTTCCAGAAACGTATCCAAGAAACAGAAGATGCCATAGGATACTGCTTAATGCCAGAGCATAGACAAAAAGTATTTAACAGACTCCAAGAAACCTCCTACAAGAGGCTCGAGCTCGTCTAGCACCTTAAAAGCTGTGGTAGTTGTATGACCCTAAGCACTCATGAAAAACGACACGTGGCAGCTGCCTGTGGTTGGAAATGGGGAGGGGGAAGTGGGATTTTAACACTTTGTCCCAATTTAATATTCAGTGAATTTACCAATGTGTGTCCCATTTTTGGTATCTAAACAAAACCCGAGTCTCATGGAGGGGAAAGCGGGGTATAATTGCATTCCTTTTAAGTAGCACTTGAGAACTGGACTGCTTTAGATTAAGTTCATTCCAAAAAATGCCTTGTCTGCCGTATTTGGAGAAGTGGTGGCTATTAAGTTGGAATTTTGCACTTTGAAAAAGCAAACCTATTTTGAAGGAAATATTTATGGGCCTCAAAACCCAGTTACTGCAGTTTTGATTTAAAGTTTGAAAATGTGTGCTGTGTTCTTGTGTTTCTCTGTTTTCTTCAACTTGTAAAAAAGACACCTTGAACCTTGTTTCTCTTAATGTTCAATTTATTGTGCAAAGATACTTTTTTTTCACTTCTTTTGAGATCCTAATTTTGCATGTACCTGGTGTTCAAGTGTTTATGTAGCATAAACTGATGTCTTAATATTTCAGTCGCGAACACTGGGGGGTTCAGGTGAACTCTGGTGCATTACGAGCCCTTTGGTTTATTTTTATTTAAGTAATATCCTTGCCTGGTTCCGCTCCAGAGGCTGTTGGCTGCTTGTGCACCAAGGCTGTTGCTTTCAGGACACTGCAAGGCCTCATCCTCATAAGTAATGGGAATTTCAAGGCGTGTGTGAAACTATGGGTGATAATCTGAGCTTAGCTGTAGCCCCACATAGGGAACCAACTCTTAGTTCTTTACTTGCTCTTAAAGTAGCTTCATAGTGATTGATTCTGGTTTTTGCAAATGGATTCAAAAGGAGGATTTTTCATATTTTTGGTATCCAGTGTGCTTGCTGTGGCACTTCTAAGGGGAGTTATCTTTGACTTAGGGAAATCTAAAAGAACAAATTCCTGTGTTCTTTACCAAAAGCCAGTATTAATACTTCATGTGTCTGCACACATTCAACTGCTACCAAAATAACGTTTCACATTTTGGGTCTGGATGTTGAGAGGTCCTTGGCAGAAGAAAAACACTCCTTATTTGTGTTCCAAACTTAAAATATTTAGTGGTGTTTCAGGCAAAAATGTGGCTCATGGGTAAAAATAGTTGTTGTTACCTGTGGTAAAATAGGTCAGACTTCTGTCTGCCAGCTCTGCTGGTTTCTGTGATCTTGGAGAACTCCAAGGCACTGAAGCTGCTGCTTTGGTTGCTCCAGGTAGCTCAGTTTACTAGTGTGTGTAAGAAGCCTTAGAATGACATAAATAAACATGCAGATGCTGATGGTGCTGTTGGCAGTGGCTAGGAAGAGGCTACAGCTGCAACTGAACACAGACATAAACCAGATTAAAAGCTGCTGCTTCCCAAAGTGCTGCTGATATCAAAGAAATCCCATTTTCAGCCTGTAGTGAACTGAGGACCCTGCTCTTCCACCTGTGAATAAACCCTCCTGATATTGATAGAAACCTGTCTGCCTGGGTAAGCGTTTTCTCCCTGTCCCAGTGTTTTCCAAGTGTCAGATTTCAGGTGCTAGAAATTATTCTCACACTAACTTCATGATAAAGCCACTTAAAAATAAGGTTTTGTCACCGTTTTTCCCTAAACTGTATTTGAAAATGGTCGTGCAGGATGTGCACGTGTGTAAGTGGCTTTGAGTGAGGCAGCAAAATTAACACTTCTTAAACTTTAAATCAAAACTGTAACTATCAGATTTTATTTTTGTATGATTTAGAGAGAAAGTTAGAAAACCTTCAACATTGGCTTTATACAGATTTTAATTGATTTGTGTCGCATTTGTTGGGTTTTTATATCTAAAGTTATATTTCTGTATATAAAACTATTCAGAACTAATCTGTAAATTGTAATAAAGATATTTGCAAGATAAGAAGTTGTTCTTCCTTCAGAGAAGATACCGGGGATGTATTGGGTAACTTTATGAAGCGTCATTCACAAATAAGCATCAGGCCAGGTTGAGAAAATTAGGATGTTTTTGTCAGATTTGGGTTAAAGAGCAGCACTTAGTCATTTAGAAACAGGCTTAACTTTGAACTTGCTTGTGAACCAGTAAAGCTGCAGGGTTGTACTCATTAATTCCGCTTTTAAAATACAAAGCAAATCATGCAAAGGGCAATTGCTCATCCTGCAATTAGGAACTTTGCTCTAGGCAGTTGTTTTAATTGAACCTGGGTGTTGCAGATTCGGTTTAGTTTGCTCACTGGTTAGTTAGCTGTTTATGTGTGAGCATTAGTCCGGTTTTGAAGGGTTCCAGGGTTGGTTTTGAAGTGCTTTTGGGTTTCTGTCCCTAAATAGATCGGAGGGGTGGTGTTTGCTAAATAGAAATGACCTCAAGGGTGCTGAGTGTCTGGTCTTTAATTATGGAAGAGCTGGGAGCGCCTTGCTGTAGTTTGCATTATAACCCTGGCGTTTAATGCAGCAAGTTACTGGGTTGCTTGTAATGAATTAAAGCAAACTGCTTGATAAGGAGCTTGGGCGATGCAGACGGGTCCATATGAAGTGACATTTAATCTTGCACAGGATTAACCCGCATTATTTTTTCAATGTTAAAGTAGGATCTTGGGGAGGCTCTGCAGCTTGGCTGGCTCTTGAGGTCAACCACTCCATTTAGTTAATTCCTTAGAGAAACTGGTGCTTGGAATAAGCAGTGGGATGAGGAGAAGGACCCTGGTTGCTCTTGTCTTGCACTTTCAGCTTTCCTTGGCGTCACTAGAACAAGGATTGTCCAGTACTTGGTTCCCCAATGACGTCTTGGGCAGAGAATTGCCAGACTAAATAAAAACCTTCTCTGAATTCGTAGAATACTTAACCGTGAAATTCCCAGTAATTTAAAATAGACCTTGATGGTTTTCTAGAAACTCCCCTTCACCTCTTGGCTCTGAAATGCGCCCTATGGGGCACGTGTGGTGACTAATAAACCTGCGTTCTCCTGATTCACTGGTTTAAATATAGTTGATGACAAGATGAAAGCTTTCGTGGACTTGGCAGTGCATCAAGGTGCCATCTGGAACGCAGAAATCCTGGGATTTCCTTATTTTGTCCCACTAAAGTCTGCGGTTTGAGTTCAGTGACAGTTCATGGTAGAGTTTGTCTTGCTCCGTAGCTGTATTTTCTCCGGGGGTCTTGGGACCGTCTTTCCTCCCTGTGAACAGAACAAGCTGCTATTTTTGTCATCACAGCTGACTCCGTGCCCTGCAGTTCTCCTTGCAGATGAACTGCGGAGCTCGTTCCATCCTGGAAAAGCCCATTCCGGAACCGGGCAGCAGGGCCGTTAATCCCGATGTGCCCGTGGCCCTGGGGAAGATCCCCGGCTTCCCCCTGCGCACGTGGGAGCTGCTGCAACTCCGCTGCAATCCGTGATCCCCTCAGCGTTGGGCTCCGCACGCCAGCGAGCGCAGGAAGCTCCCGCTCACGTGAGGGTGACAGGCGGTGACGTCTCCAAAATACCACTCGTTAAGTCATGAGAACCCAGCAGGAACAGGAACCCGTCTGCTGATGCTCCCGATAAGCCTGTTGGCAATAAAAATACCTCGAAGCTCTCCTGGCTGAGCCTCTTCTGTATTCCAGGGGCTCTGGAAAAGGGTGCTTTTCCCAAGTACAATTTATTGCTTAAATGATGGTTTTGACTCTTCACTAACCTGCCAGCTGTGCAATAGAGCAGCTGAAGGATGAGTTTGTGCCACCTGGGTCACACACAGGGCTTGGACGGTATCTTCAGCGCCAGTCTTAAGAAAACTGCTGTAAAGAGGAATAGAGCTGTGGCAACAGCAGGAGAAGGGAAAGATCCTATGTATAAAATAGTACTTTGATGCCTGGTGCATTTGTGGCAGTTTCATTAAGGGAATTAATAGGTTAAATTACTGCTGAGCAGCCACCTGAGAGCTCGGTCCTGCGAAGGCCAAGGAGCCTCTTCCCTTGTTGCTGGAAGGGGAGGCGTCTCAGAGCGGAGGAGGGAGCCGGGGGCTTCCAGCGCTGGAGTTTCCCCTTCCCAGTGAGGCTCGGACCCACGTCCTGCACTTTCGGGTTGCTTTTCTCCAAAAATAACCCTGGAGCCGATGGGGAAACCGGACCCTTCTGGCGAGAGGGAAGCCCAAGCGGCTGGGAGTAGTTTCGCTTTCGGAGGGAGCAGCTTTTTTGACGGCCCCTCCGTGTCTCCTGTGCTAACGAGCCTCACGTAAGCGAGGAGTCTTTGGATAGCTCTCATGCTTGGTGTTAATGTGTTGCCCAAATCTGCAAACAAAAGACTCTACATTTACAGATTTAAAAGGCTGTTAAAGGTCTTGGCTGTATCGGAGCTGCCGTGGCTGCAGTGGTCACTGTGTCTTAGTGGAGCCTCTCTCGTCTGAGGAGAGACCGAGTGAGCAGGGCCTGTGTTCCCTGGAGAAGAGACGGTGGAGAGGGGATCTGATCAATGTGTCCAAGTACCCGAAGGGGAATGTAGGGAGGAAGGGGCCAAGCTCTTCTCGGTGGTGGCCAGTGCCAGGACAAGGGGCGATGGGGACAAGCTGAACCCCAGGCAGCTCCACGTGCCCGTGAGGAAGAGCTTGTTTGGGGTGAGGGTGCCCGAGCCCTGGCCCAGGCTCCGGGGAGGCTGCGGAGGCTCCTGCTCTGGGCATCTCCCAACCCACCGGGATGCGCCCGGGTGCCCCGTGCTCTGGGTGTCCCTGCTGGAGCAGGGGGTTGGATAGAGGATCCTGAGAGCTCCTTTCCAACCTCAGCCATCCTGGGATTCTGTCTTGGCTCCCAGCAGGGGCACATTGTGGCCTCCTTCCCATTGGAGGGAAAAGCTCTGTCCAGGAGGTGGTGCCAGACCCGTGCAGGAGCATCCCAGCGGATGCATCATGCCCGCTCCGGGCGACTGACTCCACCAGGTGCCTGTGTCCCGTGGGGACTGTCCCCCCCTCGGCTGTCCCGGTCTCGCTGCGCCGGTCGGGACACGCAGCAGGACGGGGAGGTGGGTCTGGGGCGAGCGCGAGGAGCCCTGCAGCTCCATGACATTCCTGACGCGTGGCTTGCCACGGCCACCCCTTGCACAGGGAACATCCCAGGCCTCCGTGTGAACCTCCGAGTCCCGACGGAGCCCACGCCAGACTCACCTGGCCTGGGTGACAGCGGCGCTGCTCCCCTCTCCCCACATGCTGCCCCCTTGGCCAGAAACCCCTCCCTGCACCGTTGGGTCCCACCGAGTGTCCCCAAGGGGCTCCTGGGGCCCACGCGCTCGCTTGTCACCCGCAGCCCTCCTGTTGAGCCGGGTCTGGCTGCTCTGCAGGGTCCTCTCCTGCCCTGCTGCTCTGATCCAACCTGGTCGGGGTTGGATCTGGTCTCTGTGTTCATGCACCCGGAGATGACGGGATCCGTAGGGATACGCAGGGATCTGTTTCCCTTGCAGTGAACGTGCCAGGTTTCTGCCGCAGCTCCATGGGCTTGGACATCAGGGAGCCACGCAGATCCATCCACGGGCTGCTGGGGAGGGCTCAGATATAAAGAAATAGGGAATAGGGGGCACCGAGCACCTGGACGGCACGTGGGGCCAGGGAGCCGCGTCCCTCCCGGGGTCCCTGCTGAAGGCAGGGGCCCTTTGGGCTGAGCTGGGCTCATCTCCCCGTTTGGGTTGGCGCAAGGGCAGGTGCCAGAGCTGCTGCCCTGGGCCGAGCACCATGGGGGGCTCGGCACCGACAGCGTAGAGGCCGCGTCCTCCTCCGGTTCCCGGTTCCCACCTGCAGAAACACGTTGGCAGCAGCTCCTAAAGCTGCCTTGGGGGGTCCTGGGAGGCTTTCGGGGGCTCCGGAGGCGCCTGGCGAGGGCTGGAGCAGACACAACTTGCTCCAACGTTTGTGAGGAGGGAAGATGTTGAGTTTCCCCCCGGCTTGGGGGTTGCTGCTTGGAAAGGATCCTTGTTTGCAGTAACGCTCCGTTCCCCCCAGCACCTCTCCAAACACCGCAAGAGGCTTTGGGCAGCTTAGGAACGGATCCCTCGCTGCATTTGACTGCGTAAAACCGTTTGGGGCTCGAGCTGGCACTTGGCTCTGCTGTTGTTCGGCCCAGGGTTCCTGGGAGGCACAGAACCCCACAGCAGCTTGTGGCCACCAAGGGTCCCAGCGGAGGGACACGATGTGGCCCTTGGTGGCCACAAGCTGCGTGTGCTGCCCCGGGGCCGAGGGGACGCCGCGGAGCAGGCGCAAGGCAAGGGCGAGCACTGGACCTCGTGCGCATCCGTGCGGTAACCTGAGAGGGGCCGAAAGGCGCCGGCTTCACCCGCGGGGCTGCGAGGAAGCCCCGGGTAACGTTACCCCCGGGGTAACATTACCCCCGGCCTCACCCGGAGCCCGCCCGAAGGCCCCAATCTTGCAAAAAGCCGCCCCGTAACCTCAGAGGGGCGAGCGGCACTGCGGGCCCCTCGGGGACGCGGTGCAAACGGGGACACGGGCGCCCGAGCGTGGCCTTGCCTCTCCTCGCAGCCGCTGCCGTGGCTCCCTGCCCGCCCCGGGGTCCCCGCCGCGACTCACCCGACGGGTTTGGCTTCCCCTTCCCGGCGCGGCGGCAGCGGGAGCCTTCCCGGGGCGTCACGGGGGGAACAGGTTTCCCCAAACCTCGGCTCGCAGTGCGCCCCCGGGGGGGCCCTTCCTCCTCCTGCCCTCGCGGGCTGCTCCCCACAACGCGCCTTTCCCTGCGTGTGGGTCACCCATCCCAGACCATCCCCTCGTGCCTAATTGATGGC